GTGCTCTTCTTGTCGGACTCCGGAGCGTCTCCTGTTGGCGACATTCGTGCTAGCAGTCTGCAGGAAGCAATCCGCTTTGCATCCCGATGGAACCTGCTCGGTGTTGTCTCACAGGCTGAGGCTCTTGTTCTGTGCCCTCGACTCGTCCGAGTGGTAAAGGAGTCTGGATTGGTGTGTGTGTCGTATGGAGCAATCAACAATGACCCGGCCAACGTCAAGGTAAGTCAACAAAGCGCACCAACCTGCCGTCCTCTCTAACACTTTTCTACAGCTCCAAGTTGCTGAGGGTATCGATGCGGTCATTGTGGACTCGGTCCTCGCCATCCGAAAAGGACTTACTGAACATGAAAGCAAACGCGGGACGCCGGGAGTCTCACCGCAGCCCAGTCCTTTGGCGCAGCCCACACCTAGTGCTCTCAAGGACTCGATCGGAATTCCCGTGCTGGACCAGACGGAGGAGAAGGACAACGGTCTTCACGTGAAGCCGGAGGCAATTCTCTGAGCCAGCTTTCGATGCTGATTCAACAAGCGACCAGCTGGACATTTGGCCCGATTAATTACACATAGATTGCATCTGGGAGATCCTTCCCATCTAGAACTCGATGATCGTTTACGTTTGTCCTTTATGGACGGATAGTGGGTAGTAGTAAGCTTCGCATAGCTTGTTAGATACTCCTACCGCGGTCCCGATGGCACGAAATAGCGACTGACCGATTTGGATGCGACGACCCTGCCCTTTTGCGACCACATCAGCACCTGTAGATCCCCCGCTCGACTTCCCCATTCGATCTCAGGTAACTACCGGATAGTGAAGCCCCCATCGACCCTGATGTCCGCGCCATTGATCATCCCGCTCGAGTCCTATCATGCCATTAGTTGATACTGACCACCCTGCAGAGCGTTTCTTCAGAACTACTTACCTGACAGAGAAACAGCACCGCATCCGCCACCTCCTCCGGCAGAGCAAACTTTCCCGTTGGGATAGATTTCAAGAAGGCATTCTTAACCGAAGCCTCCCCCCAAGCTTTCTTGCCCAGCTCCGTCCACGCCACGGTGGGCGATACCGAATTGGCCGTGATGCCCCGCCCCGCCCACTCGGACGCCATACTCCGCGTCAAGCCCAGTAGCGCCCCTTTGGAGGCACAATAAGCCCCGTGGCGCGGCAACGCCACATGAGCCGCCTGCGAAGCGATATTCACGATCCTTCCCGGTGGCGGTGTCAATCGCGAAGCATCTTGCCCTTCAGCAGCGGCCCCCGCCGTTCTTGCAGATGCAAAGTAGAGCCGCGCGAACGCCTGCGCGCACAACATCGGTCCCAACACATTGGTCGTCAGATGCTTCAGCGTCTCCTCGGGTGGCGTCGCCTCCATGTCGCTCAACGAGACATACCCGGCCGTATTGATCAGGATACTCGGAAAGGGTCTTGGATTCGATGAGGACAACGATGACCGTGTAGACAATGGGGTCACCAACTCTTCCGCTAATTTGGCGAACGCCGACTCCACGGACTCGGGCGACGTGATGTCGCATTCGTAGGTGTGGATGTTTCTATGGTGGTGGGAAGCAGCTGCTCCGTACCCGGCTTCGAGGAGCTGATCGCGCCGGGCGGCTTCGAAGGGCGCGTAGAGGATGGCTAGCTGCGCGCCTTGTCGGCGAAGCTTCTGGCCGATGCTGGTGCCGAGGCCGCCTGTTTGGGTTGGTTCTGTTGAGTAGAGTACATTGGGTCTGGGGGGGTGACTGTAAATTGTGTGGTAGGGGGGAGGTGGTGGATTAAGGATGGGTGAGTGGGCGGGTGTAGTTACCTAGACCTCCGGGGAGGATTGCTAGTCTGTTGGCGAGGGCCATGGCGCTCGTTCGAGAGGATTAGACTATTGATTTTGTTGAGTTGTAAGTATATGAATGTACTACAGTGGGTATATCTCAATCTGGGTTATCATGCTTGGATGAGACGAAGGAGGGGGATGCGACCTGGGCTACCTGAGGTAGGAATGTGACATCCCTCGGGAGAGGAACAGCCCGAAGAGATGATATCATTGGAAGTTGGCGCAGTCCATCCGTCCTGCTACTTGTAATATGAGTAGTAAATCTGCAGATACAACCTACATTTCCAAGTATTGTCAGAATGATACGAAGTACTCGATAGGCTTGTGTACCTCATGCCTTCGCGATAAGCAATCCCTTCCCACGCCTAGAACCATAACCCAGTCCCATACACCCATAGCTCCTCATATGCGCAGTGAAAAGCCGCAACGTGACCAGTTCAACTGTAAACGCCTTGTTTCCGAATAAACGCCATTCCATAAGAGAAGAACAACACCCATCGAAAAAGCAAACTCCTTGCAGTCCTCATGATGAAACAACAGCAAGAAACGCGACAGCTAACCATCCCGGGCCCGCCAAAGCCCTTGCCCAACCTCCCAAACATTGACCCTGTTCTCTGCCACGTGCGGTCTCGGCTCGCGTTCATGCTCCCTGACATCAAGACGGAACCCTCCCAAGACCGATTATCCCCACGAGCCGAGTTCGTTGAGGTGGAAGGTGTCTTCGCGGATTTAGAGGTTGTGGTTCTCGAGTCGGAGCAGGGTGGCTTCTTCGAGTTGGTTGTCGATGTTTAGGGATGGGGACTCGGAGGCTAGCTGCTGTGATTTGCTGTAAAGCTGATGTAGAGACACCACTGAGGCTGTTTATCTACATAAAGGTCACGATGCCAGAACTATATATTCCAGATGAGATCATTATGGTGCCAATGGGGGGGGAGAGCATTTATTTTAGTCTCTATTTTTGTAGCCAACTTAAGTCCTTCTTGTCAAGTCAATGACTATTTCCACACATCTAAAGGGTCCAATATCAGTGGCAGTTGAATGGGAGTTGATAGCTATACAAACCAGTCAGCAAGTGTATAGTCCAGATGCACTATTCCCAAATCGGCAAGCAACTAGAGCTGCCCTGCTAGTTCCGAGCGGTGGCGCAGGCGGTGTACTCCCGATTCCTCCGGCTTATCATTATCAATTTGATGCTCTATACTCCTTTGCCACTACCTCAAGACCCCCCCCCCGTACAAACTTATTTCCCTCTGCAAAACACAATGAACTCTCTCACCCCCCACTGGACCTCATAGCCACCTCAATTCCTCCCAGGAAGCCATCCATCAACCCACCCAACCCTGGACCGCGCCTCCAGCCACCACTCCCAAAAATGAACACCATCGACGCAACAGAGCACTACTCAACCAGTGCTCACGGTACATCCCATCCCATCCAGTCCCAATCTCCCCTTCCACCCCCCTCAACCCCCAAACTAACATCCAGACAACAACAGACCGACCCCCCTCCCTCCTAACCGTCATCATCGACACCAACCCGCACGCCTGGGCCCAACTAAGCAGCCAATCCGCCCTCCCCCTCTCAACAGCCGTCGCCAACATCCTCGTCTTCCTCAACGCCCACCTGGCCTGCAACTACGCCAACGAAGTCGCCGTCGTCGCCTCGCACACCCAAAAGGCCACATGGCTGTATCCGGTCGCCGCCGCCTCACACGACTCAAACCAACCCCCCCGCGACAAGGACGGCGACACGCCCATGCCCTCCCACAACCGACCCCCGCCGCCCCACGAAATGAACAAATACCGCCCCTTCCGCATCGTCGAAGAACAAGTCACCCAGAATATGCACAGGTTACTCGGCGGCACCACGGCCGACGATCTCTCCGCGACGACCTCCACCCTGATGGCGGGGGCCTTGACGCTGGCGCTGAGCCACATCAACCGCCGGACGATCGCCTGGGCCGAGGCGCACGGCGGGGAGACGGATCCCAACGCCCACGCCAACAACACCACTACTACTAGCACCAACACAGCTGGAGGAGCCGCCGCCGCATCTGGTGGTGACAAGGCTAGCACCGAATCCGGCCTGCAGTCGCGCATCCTCATCCTCAGCGTCAGCAGCGCCACCGGCGCCGCGCACCAGTACATCCCCATCATGAACGCCATCTTCGCCTGCCAGCGCCTGCAGATCCCCATCGACGTGTGCAAGCTGGCCGGCGACGCCGTCTTCCTGCAGCAGGCCGCCGACGCCACCAAGGGCGTGTACATGGCCCTCGCCGAGCCCCGGGGGCTGCTCCAGTACCTGATGATGGCGTTTCTGCCGGACCAGCGCTCCCGCCGGCATCTGATCCTCCCCACGCGCGTGGATGTCGATTTTCGCGCCGCGTGCTTCTGTCACCGCCGCGTCGTGGATATCGGGTTCGTGTGCTCGATCTGTCTGAGTATCTTCTGCGAGCCGTTGGAGAAGGGCGAGTGTTTGACCTGTGGGTCCGTGTTGGAGATGGGCGACTACGGGGCCAAGCCGGCGGTGGTCGCCCGGAAGAAGAAAAAGAAGAAGGTTCGTGGGCCGGGCAATGGGGCCTCGGCCACGCCTACACCGACGCCGACACATGGTCCGTGAGGGTGACCAGGACATGCTATGGCTGCCCTTTTTGGTAGTCACGACATCGCTACTGTTCTGGGTATACAAGGCACGAAATATCTAGAGCAACCCACGCCACGGGAATTACTGTATTATCTGTGGCCTCTTAGGCTGGGAAAAGTAACTAGGAAACGGATACCCTCGGTTCCTCCCTCTTGTTGCCCGCCTCAGCTCAACACATTCTGACCTCCACTTGACGCAGCAACGAGCGCTCGGTGCCAGGCCAAACCGTGTTTCCCTGATCTGGTTCACTGGTGGAAGAGCTATGAGCGAGAATAGACTTGGATCGTCGCCCCAACAATGGAATTGACACGAAGCATCGATCGAGAATCTGGCCTTCGAGGGGAGGAGGCGTCAGCGTGCGATACTGAGCGTTTTACACCCGGTACATAACACCACGAAGTTTTGATGGCAGACGAAATGATAAAAAATAAAAAACAAGTCACTTACTTTGTAAACTGGTCAACACTCTGAGCGCAACAGTAGATGTACGCTAGGTAATTGGTGAAAGCAAATGTCGATCTTGACCGGGTGCCACTACTTGGCTTGCGACATGGGTTTGCTTCGAGTGGCGCGGCCGCCCTGAGCAATGCTACCATTGCCATTGTTGCGGGACATCACACACACCGGCTGTTTATCCTCGCTGCTCATCGAAGCAATGACCTGCTGCACTTAGTAGAAAGCCTAAAACAATCGAGGTCAGACCAGGCCTTACGAATGAGTCAGTGTTGTGTCCGAAATAGAGGTAAACGCCATGCGTAGTCTTCTTGACAGCAACAATGCCGATCGCAGCTTGACATTTGCTTCCACGAACACCGGGATGGCCTGAACCAGCCATGTCAGCAAGATCAGGTGGAAAAGGTGGGAGTTGATTACCCATGAAGTCGGATGCGATCATAGAGCTCATTGCTTCCTCCTCGGTAACATCCTCGAATGTGCCGTCGTTGTGTTTCTTCTGGCTGTAGTAGATCCGCATAGCGCACGTATGCGCGGCCATCGTAGTCGCAATATGTTCGCCAGTTCCCGAAGTCACGGCTGCGACGCTGGTCTTCTCTGGATCATTGGGGTCAGCAGGGATTATACTTGTGCCAACTCCCACGAGTGCCGCAGGTCCGATACGACCGGAGTGCTTCATCCCGATGCCGCCAGAAGACGAGCCGGCCGCAATATTGCCCCAGCTATCCACAGCAATGGCCCCCACAGTATCGCTGACATAGTCCATCACCTCCGCAGGCTGGCTAACAGTGGCCTCAGAGGTTTCGGACGACGGTCCACTGAGATCCACAGCGGAAGTGCAAGGCCCTCCATCCATGTACCTGCCATCCCTAAGTGCAGAAGCATCGGAAAGTGTGCGGGTTGGTTCCACTGGGGATAGACTTGCAGTGGTACAGGTCAAACGTGGGTCTGCAGGCTCCGAGTAACCGGGAACCACAGCGCTGGGCGCAGGCAAAGCGGGAAGACGAGGACTGGAAGCGTTGGCCAATTGGGCAGGGTTGAAAGGAATGGGACGGCGATAACAAGTCTGGTACGGGACATAGTTCCCCAGCTTGGTCCTTTCCTTGTGCTCGGCGGCTTGTAGCTCCTGCTGCCAGCGACGCCATCTTTCTTTTGCAGACGGAGCCACGAGAGCATCAGGAGGCAGGACCACCAGTCCCTGATCATAGGCGAAGTCCCTTGCACCTCGTCCAATCAGGAAATTTGGCGGCACACGAGCAAGGGTTAATGGCTTTCCTGACGTATTTAAGATGCTTCGTGCCACCATGATGGGATTTTTCACTTCTGCAGAATGGCATTAGCCTGGCGCTTAAACCAGTGAGAAAGATTACTTACGGGACACAGCTCCGACTGCGCCGCTTCGCCCGAGATGATTGACAATCGTAGCATCGCACTCGACCTCTCCATCAATTGTCAGGTTACTGCCATAGCCAGCATTGGTGATTTCAGTGTCCTCCAGATACATGATGGCCATTTCGACCGCCTCTACAGCCGTTCCACCATTGCGCAGAACGGCCATTCCTGATCGCGCGGCCCTGCTCCAGGTTAGAATGGCTTCGAGACAGGTAAAGTGCGGGAACGAAGATTGGTTGCCAACTTACTTTTCACATGCCTGCAGATGTAGATGTTCGTTCTGCACACTGTGGAAGCCAGCGCCGGCATGGACATAAATGGTTGCAATGCCTCCTCCACCAGCCCCACCACTCTTGTTGGAGGACATGGTTAAGAGGTGCCTCGCAATGAATGCTGGAATGAGACGCGGCCGCGTGATGGGCTTGACTGAGTGGAGACCTGGCAGACAGGAAGGTGTTTTGCGTGTCACACTGACCGTAAGGACAGGCGGATGATCAGAGTGTCTGAGCACCAGTCACAGCGGTCAATTGACTGAGTTTTAGAGTCCTCAGCTTAAGAGAAGCGCAAAGTTGGAGGATGCAGGAAAGTAAAAGAACACGGCGCCCCTCAGGTTGAGCGTGTTTTGAACTTCACTGCGCCGGGCTAAGCAAGTGTTGTGCGATTGGCCACGATTATGGAAGCGAGCAAAAGTGAATCGAAATGCAGCCGCAGAAGAACGCACAGCCGCAGTCGTGAGGGGGAGCGCAGCCGCAATGACCAGAGGGTGGTGGAGTTGTGGTTGTAGTTCGACCTGTCTCTCTCTATGAATACAGTATACGAATGATGGAAGAAAGAAAGCATATGTCACCGGACAAAGAATAAACAATCAGTACTGATAGACAGAGGACTTTAGGGAGTCATATAGGACAGAGTTGAAGAAGGTAGATGTGGTTGGAGACATGATCGTTGGGTGGTTGGAGTAGTAGATGGAAGACGTTCCTTCCTTATAGCAAAGGACGATTTATGGGGGGCAGCAGTTGCCCTTCAAGACTGTACTGTACTTCTTCTTTGCAATTGCTTTCAATGACAGCTGTTCCATTGTCTTGTCAGAAATATCCATAGCGAGATTGATTGATTATTTTTTTTTGTTTTGTTTTTGTTCAAGAGGACATACACAAATTCCAATGGCGGAGAGGCAAAGGAACACCATGGAAGATGAATTGATGGAAGATAAAGATCGATGCATGGATAAACTACTCACTACACACTAACTACTCCCAACACGTGCCGTTCTGCCAGCCATGGTGTTGCCCGCCCTCCCGGTCCGTTCCCTCTTCTGCTCCTGCTGCTCCCCTCCATTCATCCCCTCCCCAATTCAATCCCCCATCTTAATTCCCCCATTCTCCGATTGTTGTTTCTCTTTCTTTCTCCTCCCCCGCTGTTCCCCTTCTGCTGATCTCTTTGGAGGGTCAGCTTCTCTTTATCTACCTTTCTACGGACACATTCCGTCAATTCCCTCCTACCCAACACCTTTCGTCCGCGACCTGATAGTAAGGGGGAGTGCGTCTACTCCACATCATCCGTCATGGCTTCCCAAACTCCGGCCGTTGTCATGGACAAGTGAGTCGCCCAACAACCCCCCCTTTTGTTCTTCGATCACATCATTGTAGCTGACCATGGGCTTTCACTGCTCAGCGGAACTGGTTACTCCAAGCTTGGTAAGCCTCCTTCCCCGCTATCATTCCAGCTACGCCTACTGCCTACCCCACGGAGCTCTAGGCTGACAAGTCACCAGGTTTCGCCGGTAACGACTCGCCGTCCTTCGTCTTTCCCACCGCAATTGCTACCAAGGCGGGCGCCGGAAGTGCTGCAGGCTCCGCCCCCGGCCGACCTCCCGTCGCGAACAAGCCATCTTTCCTGGCCGGTGGTGGTGGTGGGGCAAGCTCGCACTTGTCCACGAAGCGTGGTACGGAGGACTTGGACTACTTCATTGGCGACGAGGCTCTGGCAGCGGCCAACGGCCCCGGTTACGCGATCAATTATCCCATCCGTCATGGTCAGATTGAGAACTGGGACCACATGGAGCGGTTCTGGTCCAATTCCATCTTCAAGTACCTGCGCGTGGAGCCGGAGGACCACTACTTCCTCCTCACCGAACCCGTACGCTACCAACTACCCCGTGCCAATGCGACAGCAGGAGATCAGTTCACTAACATCCAAACTTACACCAGCCCTTGAACCCCCCCGAAAACCGTGAGAACACCGCCGAGATCATGTTCGAGTCGTTCAACTGCGCCGGTCTCTACATCGCCGTCCAAGCCGTGCTGGCTCTCGCTGCCTCCTGGACCTCGTCGAAGGTCACCGATCGATCGCTGACCGGAACCGTCATCGACTCGGGTGATGGTGTCACGCATGTTATCCCCGTCGCAGAGGGCTACGTCATCGGTTCCTCGATTAAGAGCATCCCCATCGCCGGTCGCGATATCACCTACTTCGTCCAGAGTCTGCTCCGTGACCGCGGTGAGCCGGATAGCAGCTTGAAGACCGCCGAGAAGGTCAAGGAGGAATACTGCTACGTGTGCCCCGACATCGTGAAGGAGTTCGCACGCTACGACCGGGAGCCCGACCGCTTCCTCAAACACACCGTGACCGCCCCCAACGGCCGGAGTGTGAGCATCGACGTCGGCTACGAGCGCTTCTTGGCCCCTGAGATCTTCTTCAACCCGGAAATCTACTCCTCCGACTTCCTGACGCCCTTGCCCAACGTCGTCGACGGCGTGATCCAGTCCTCTCCCATCGACGTCCGGAGAGGCCTCTATAAGAACATCGTCCTCTCCGGTGGATCCACTCTGTACAAGGACTTCGGCCGCCGTCTACAGCGGGACATCCGGCACCTGGTAGACGCCCGCATTCGCGCCTCGGAGGCCCGCAGCGGCGGCGCGCGGAGCGGTGGTCTGGACGTGGCGGTCGTCACGCACAAGCGACAGCGCCACGGCCCGTGGTTCGGCGGTAGCTTGTTGGGCCAGACGCCCGAGTTCCGCAGCTACTGCCACACCAAGGCCGAGTACGACGAGATCGGCCCCAGTATCGTCCGTCGGTTTGCTCTCCTGGGTGGGCCCGGCAGTGCTTAGGGTGATGTTGTGTCTTTCTCTGTCTCTCTGTGTGATTGGCGTGTGAGATATCGTGCTCTGTTCTACTTTGTCCATAGTCTTTTCTCTTCTTCATGATTGTGAAACCAAACAAAAGGCTTCTATAGTAACCCGGCCGGAGAAAGGCTGTTCTCGACACACAAAACACAAGAGACACACATGATCTTAGACTGCAGGGCTTCCGAACCAGTCATTCACTCCAGCAATCAATGTATATAATATGGATGTAAAATGTAGATGCAATCACTTCCCAAGCAAATACACAATTTCTCCGTAAACAAAGAACCCCAGATCGTGAAGTGTAATTCAAATACTCTATTTTCAAATCCCCCCAAATCCCGAAGGCAACCCCAAACAACGCCAATACTAGAATATAATGTATATAACACAAGAAAGGAAGTTTTTTTCATTCATCAACACTCCCGCACTCCCCACTAGCCCCAGCCTGCCACCACGACCACCACCACCGGAGCCTCTTTTCCAAAAGAGAAAAAAAACTAGGTCGAACCCCCCGGAATCGGCACACGATTTAGGACCGCCACACCCTCAACATGGCCCGTCTGGGGGAAAAAGTCGAAGCCGCGGATGCTCTCGATCTCGTAGCGGATCTTCTTCTCGGCGCTGCCCTGGACCATGACGCCGACGTCGCGGGCCTGGGTGTGGACGTTGCAGGAGACGTAGACGACGCGGCGGGGCCCGTAGGCGAGCAGCTGGCGGAGGAAGTCGTCGCTGCAGCCCTTGCGGGGCGGGTCGATGACCAGCAGGGTCTGGTCGGCCGGGTAGGGGACGTCCTTGAAGAGGACGGCGGCGTCGGCGGCGGCGAAGCCGGTGTTGGGGAGGCGGTTGGCGCGGGCGTTCTGGCGGGCGGAGAGGATGGAGTCGCCGGCGACGTCGACGCCCAGGCTGGATTTGAACAGCGGGGAGAGGGTGATGGTGAAGAGGCCGGAGCCGGAGTAGGCGTCGAGGAGGTATTTGATTTGTTGTTGGGGTTGGGGTTGGGGTTCGTCGGTGGTTGAGGGGGAGGGGGAGGAGGAGGAGGGGGAAGGTGCTGGCGGCGCCAGGGCGTGTTGGCGGATGTAGTCGGTGAAGCCGGTGAGGATGGAGTTGTTGTTCTGGAAGAAGGCGCCCGCTTTGTTGGTGAAGACGTAGTCGTCGACGTACTCGACCGTCGTGGCGTTGGGGTTGGTCACGCACCGCTTCTCCTCGGTGTAGGCGTCGGTCTCGGTGCGGATCAGGTCCTCGGAGTAGTCGTTGATGTGGTTCAGGTCGTCGGTGCGCGGCCACTCGCTCTTCTCGCGGTCGGCCTCGTTCTTCGGGGTGCGCGAGGTGGACTCGCGGAGCAGGAGGGTCGCGCCCTGCGTGTACGTGGAGATCCGCTCGGCCACGCGCTTGCGCTCGCTCTTGAGCCCCTGGCGCACGATGTCCGTGCCCAGCGGGCAGTCTTCGATGTCCAGGTCGGTGCGCCGGTTCTTGTAGGTGAAGCCGATGGGCGGGACCTCGGTGTGGCGCGGGGCCGAGGCGCCCTTGTTGCGGCGGCGGAAGCTGCCCGGGGGCGCGGCGAAATGGGGGGTGAGTTTGGTGCGGTAGCCGTATTGCAGCGGCGAGGGGAAGGTGTCGCCGATGGCGGGGATCAGTTCGGGGATGAGGCCGGAGAAGTTGGCGAAGGCTTTCTCGACGATGCGCTTCTTGTGCGCCAGCTGGTCCTCGTAGGACATCATCTGGAGCTGGCACCCGGAGCACTTCCCGAAGTACTGGCAGCCGATGCCGGCATCGTTGCGCTGGGAGCCAGGCTCAACAACCTTGACGAAGTCCGTAATACTGTATTTTAGCGAGGGGAAGTGGCGCACGACCTTGACCAGCACTTTATCCCCGGGGACGCTGAAAGGCACCACGTAGACGTGGGTTTGGTCCTCCGACAATGCCAGACCATCTCCCGTCGAAGATATCTCGGCGATCTGGACTTCGAGCTCGGTGAAGGGCTCGGGCAAGGTTGGCTCCGGGGGGGTCAGGTACTCGACCTCGACCTCGACCTCCGTAGCGGGTTTGTGTTTGCGGATGAGCGCATCGATATCGGCCTGGAGGACCTCGTCGAAGCCTTGGCGCTTCTCATCGCGGAGCTGCTGCTTGCGCTTCTTGGGCGGGTTGGCGGGTTTCTTGGGTGGTTCCTGCATTCTTTGAACCACGAAGTCCAATCGTCGATTAATATCTGCAGAAAGACCAGTGTGGATCAGACGGGGAGTCTGGAGGGTGAACTGAGACGGGAGTCTGGGTGAGAGCAGGCGCAAGGACCGCAATGCAAACATCTATAGATCCTGAAATTTCCCACGTCGATCAGCAAACCCACAATGAAAGGATGTTTAGAGAAATTCGCGGGGGGCAGTTGTGGAAAAGTGGGAAATTGTAGAAGTTGGGGAAAGGTAAGTATTGGAAATGGAAAAGGGAAAAAAAGTGAGTGAGCAGGAAAAGGCGGGCGCGGATTGGTTGGATTCGGCCCGCTGAGAATTTCGCCGGAGTTTCTGTTTCTCTCCAGTCTCACTCTCTCAATCTTCAATTCCCCTTCAGTCACCGCGGACTTGCCTCCAGCTACCACCTTCTCAACTCCTCCTCCCCCCCTCTCCCCACCCACCCACTCTCTCTCCCTCTCTCTTCTCTCTAAAGCTCTCAATTGGCCTCTGCTGGCCAGAGAGCTTTCTTTCTTTTCTCACCGTCCACCATGAGTTTCACTCGTCCCGCCCGATGCATGCTATGCAACTTCACGCGAGCAGCCTCGGCGGCTCCTCGCGTCCCTCGTCGCCAATTCCACCCTTCTCCCTTCCGCCTTAACGACCAGAAGCCAACAGACTCTGCCGTCCCCGTTGCTGCCGAGACCCCGAAGACGAACAAGGAGGCGGTCGTCAAGCAGAGGCTGCAGGAGATCACGCGGAATATGAAGCCGGAGAGCCTGCGGCCGTACACGGAGGAGGAGCTGGCCCAGCTGCGGGAGGTGTACAGCGCGGCGCAAATGGCGGCGATCGAGGCCGGCGAGGCGACGATCGACCCCAAGGACTTCGCGGAGCAGTTCGCCGTTCGCACGGATCCGATGCGGCTGAAGTACCTGGACGACTTCTCGCACGTCGAGCCGGGAGTCGACAAGCACATGCGGGCCCCGGAGAGCCACGCGGACCCCAACCAGAAGTTGAAGAACACGGAGGACTTCATGCAGGACTTCGCCAAGTACATCCAGGAGATGCCGCGCGACATGGACTCGGCCCACTTCGTCCGGTGGGCGGAGACCACTCGGCTGACCAAGGGCAAGGAGGAGGCCGAACGTAGCCCGCACACTTCGCTGGCGCCGGACTTCTTCCAGGAGGGCGACAAGCTGCGCGTGCCGGAGGACGAGGGCAAGGAGGGGTTAGTCCGGGATGAAAACGTCCATCGGCCCGCCATTTCGTTGGAGGGCATTTCGCCGCCGTTGGCGCAATTGATCCAGTCTACGGGCCTTTCTCAAGACTACATCAAGAACCTTTTCACCAAGTCGCTGGTCTTCCATTCGGTCACCAACCAGACGCGTCTGGGTAAAGTCCAGCGGTTCTACTGCCTGGCGGTCGCCGGCAACCGCGACGGCCTGCTGGGATTGGGCGAGGCCAAGTCCTTCGAAGCCGCCGATGCTATCGAGCAAGCGAAGTACCGTGCGATCCGGAATATGCGGCCCATTCTGCGGTACGAGCAGCGCACCATCTACGGCGATGTGACGGCCAAGGTTGGTGCTATGGATCTGAAGTTGATGACTCGTCCTCCGGGTATGTTTTCTCCGCCCCCCCCCCCCCCCTGTATTTGTGTCATGTGCTAACACGGGACTAGGCTTTGGACTTCGCTGCCAATCCCTCATCTACGAGATGTGTATTGCCGCCGGTATCTCCGATCTCGCTGCTCGGGTCAACCGGTCCCGAAACAAGATGAACACCGTGAAGGCCGCCTACGAGGCGCTCTTGGCGCAGCGTAACCCGGAGGATGTTGCCCGTGCCCGGGGGAAGAAGATGGTCGATGTGCGCAAGGTGTACTACTCTGGACGGGTGTTTTGATTTGTTTCTCGCATTTGCCGGTTTCTGGTTGCGCCATGGCGGTGGTGTAAATAATGGTTTTTCCTTATGGTGTACTTTGTATCTCTCTCTCTCTTCAGTCAACCTGTATTTGTATCCAGCCTATGTTCGGTTATGATAGAACTGAGATAACCCGTTCCTTGTCTCCACCCGAAGTGAGAGTCAGTATCCTCAATCCATCAATCCACAGCACCGAACCCATTAAAAAAAAGCAGGGGTATATCAAAAACAACAAATAACAAGCCGATAAACAACAAACTCCGAGCCATTGCACCACCCAACCCAACCCATACTCCAAACCCCCCAACAACAAACCCCACAAACACAAAACCATGAACAGACTCAACCCTCCCTAGCTATACTCCTGCCCCCTCTCTTTGATCAAAAGGCAAAACAATCAAAACCGTCCCAAAAGACTAACATCCTGCCCCTGCCCATGCCCATGCCCCTCATCATAATACCCATACCCCTGCTCCCCCAGCTCCCCCAGCTCCCCCTCATCATACCCCATCGCATCCCCAAACCCCTGCCCCTCCTGCCCCTGCCCAAACTGCTGCTGCTGCTGCCCCTCAGACTCATTGATCATCTGCTGCTGTAACACAATACTATACACACTCGCCTTCAGCAGCGTGCACACGGTGGCGGTCTTCCGCTCGAGATGGCGGAGGCCATCGAGGGTCATTGAAGCGGGGGAGCCGGCGAGGTCGGCGAGTTTGGTGGAGAGCTTTGCCCCTCTCATCCCATTAGCGTTTGGTTCCTTTTTGAATGGGGGAGTGGGGGGTGGGAGTGTATCGAGGGCATAGACATAGGCTTGAGCTATGCGCCTCAAGGTAGGGCCAAGGAGGGAGGGGAGGAAGGAAGGAAAAACCCACCGCGTTCACGTTCCCGAGGAGCCGGGCGTACTCGTCGAGGACTTCCTGCTCTAGATCTGTGACGAGGGGGTTGGAGGGGTTGAGGAGGGGGTTGCTGCTGCTGCTGGTAGTGGTGGATGTCTTCGGATTGGTATGGTCTTCTTCGGCGGGGGAGGGGTCGTCCTTGATGCTGACGCTGACGCTGGTGGTGTCGGGGGTGGTGAGGTCGTCGAGGTGGGACATTCTTTGATTTTTGCGAGGTGGTTTCCTGGGCGGGGGGTTCATGGAGTGTAGATGGTTTTGGGCTGTAGGCTGCAAGTTATGATTGTAGGTGGAATCAATTGGTCGAGTACGGAGAGAAGCAAATGGTTTAGTTATGAGTCGTGTGGTTGGAATTGAAGGTCCTTCGGGTTCAACAATGGTTTGCTTTGTTTGGGGGGGGGGGGGGGGTTGAGCCTGGAGGGCGGCGGGAACTAATTGGTTTGGTAGTAGAATTGTATCACCGGGCATGCATGGCAACACCGTAGGTTAAGTTAGCTTAACCTTCCACCGCTTTGGGGCGGGGGTGCATAGAAGTAAACACCTCCTTCTAGCTGACTGACTTCGGCATCTGAATGATGAAGATCCACGGCTCCTCTAATACATATTGCAGTGCTAGTCGGATTTCCTATATATAAACAAAGAAAGGAACAACAAGAGTCCAGGGAACTCAATCGAGATGAGTTGACCTTAACTAGCCAAACTATACTACCCATCTCCACCCCCCACTTATTTGCCGATTCAGCATAAGGCACCTTAACTGACTGGGCTTATCTATCCAGCGATCTATATCTATCCTGCGGCATACCATTTCTATCAATTTATATAGCTAGGAAAGGTAGCACACCAGGCTACACGATGTAACTGCCGCCCCGCGGCTCATATGGCTGCCAGAAGCAAGAATAAAGTCACCACATACCACCCATCTCTACATTAATCACAATACCAACGCTGATACATAGATTCTTTCATATACTGGTAGCATGTATCATTTCCCTCAAGGCACCGGGCCTCTTGGGGTACCGCAACAAAAGCCGCGAACTGAAAAAGGTCGGCTGGGTCTTCCCAAGCAATGCACCCGCCGCCGACCGGCTCAAAGGGAGGAAAAAGTGTTTTGGTACGATACAACCTAGATCGCAAACGCCGTCTTCTGCAATGGTGACAATATAAAACCACAATAAAAAAGGCAGGCGAAATCACATCGCTGCAACACCCAGCAAGAAAGCAAAAGATCCCGAGAATGGCCATGCATATAATATGCGCAAATGCCATCTATTTACCTGATCATCAGCATGATTCAATTAACACCCCATAAATTAAATCCCGGAAGAAAAGAACCAGTACTCCGGGTAATGACTGTATGAAAGTCGGAAATGGTGAACTCCAATAGGTCTTCGTCTTAATGCGTCATGGTCGTGACAGAGCCCAAGCAGTCCGCGGTCTGCCTAAACTCGTTCCTCTGCCGTCTTTAGACGGAGCAGAGAGCATCCATCCCAGCAACACTGTGGAATCACTCTACATATCCCCGTCATGGTGGAGAGTGACGCTGTTGAACTCTTCAAACGGATCCGCGACTTCGGCATTAGGTGTAGCCAGACCTGAATCCATGGGGACCCCCTTCATCTTCATCGGTTGGCTGCCTCCGATGTCGACACTGGCACTCTCCTTGACGTTGCGGAAGTTAAGGGTGTCTGTGCCTCGGCTTTGGTGTGGGATCATTGGGGGCTTCATGTGGCGAATGAGTGCCCATTGCGTCTGTCGGAAGAAAGGATGTGTCTTGACATCTGAGGCACCAGCCCGAGCTCCGAGACGTTTTGTCTCATCCTTGATCAGCAACTTCCGAATCAGGGACTTGCAAAGGCTACGCATATGTTAGCATCGAGAATATGACAGCCAGGATCAGTGCAATCTTACTTGGAGATCTGCTGAGCCCCAGAGTGTTCAGGGAAAGGCACTTCATCCCGCAGGATATTGCCAAAGGTGGCATTCCTGTTCTTGCCCTTGAAAGGCGTCGTTCCGTACAGCATCTCGTAGATCAGAATGCCCAGAGTCCACCAGTCGACCGCACTGGTATGTCCGCAGCCTTTGATGACCTCTGGAGCGATATATTCTTCCGTACCCACAAAAGAGTTCGTCCGAAAATCGGCAATACATGACTTCGTGTCGATGGTTGGTAAAGACGTTGTCGAATTGCCACTCCGGGCCGGAATCATGGTAGGTGCACCGCCCGGTCCGGACTGCTTGGACAAATCGAAGTCAGACAACATTATGTGGCCTGACTGATGGAGGAGGATGTCTAAAATACGTCATTGTGAGACAAATTTATGCAGTAATCCTGAGGGGCGACTTACTTTCAGGTTTCAAATCGCGGTAGATGAATCCCATCAGGTGAAGATACTCCAGAGCAGCGGTCACTTCCGCAGCGTAGAAACGGGCGGCGTCTTCCGAAATGCATTTTCCTGGCCGAGTTTGCAGAGCTAGAGCAACCAATTAGCACCTTGCCCTGACGGTCATCTCTACTCGACATACCTCTAAAAAATTCACCGCCACTGCAATACTCCATGCAGAGATAGAGATAGTCCTCGGACTGGAAAGAGTGATAGAGCGTGACAATGAACGGGTGATTGCTAGTGGCCAAGATTTCCTGCTCCGCCAACGCACGCTTGATCTTGTTACGCTTGATCATTTCCTTCTTGCTCAGCACTAGTCAAGTCAGTCAGCAAAATCTCTGCGATTTCTCGCGTAGGCGCGCACCTTTCATAGCATAGAGTCGGCTGGTCTTCTTCTCCCGGACCAAATACACCTTGCCCACATCACCCTTGCCGATCAGCTTGATCTTGTCGAAGCTGCCTGGACCGACCTCCACATTCCGCACCTTAATCGAGTTGGAGCTGTATGTTCGGCGAAATGCAACGGAGTCTCGGATCTGGCCAGGAGTGGGGATCTTGCCGTCAGCCCCGAGTGTCGGCACAGCAAGGTTGATTTCTTGCTCTTCAGACACCTCAATTGTCGTCACTTTAGGAACAAGACTACTCGATCCCACCGGCAAGGGCTCCTGGTCCTGCTCGGCGGTTTGCGGCCGTTCATCAGCCTGGCCGCGGGCAAACAGACCCTGCGCATTGGGCGCCGAAGCGACACGGCGGAGTTTGCGAGCCAGCTCTTCCTTGTTGGCGGTGGTTGCTTGCTCGGCCGCGGAGACGCCTTCGACCTGTAACTCGGGGGTATCTGGTGGAGAAGAGGGAATGGATCCATCATTACGATGCTGCAAGGACGGCTGTCCTTGGTGTTGGAAGTATGGGTTCGCGGTTGCGGTGGGCGAGACGCCTTCGTCTAATGGGTTTCCTTCACTGGCGACGGTGGTCGAGCGATTGCGACCAATGGTAGGGAGAAATCGGGACTGTCTGAAGGTGGATTTGGATTCGTGTTTGCCAGGTGACGAGGAGAGGTTGCTGGTTTCATGACTCCGATCGCTGCCGCTGTGGTGGCTAGCATGGGAGACATTACTGCTGGAGCTGTTGATGCGGAAGAAATTTCGAATCTTGGTGGGAAAATGACTTGAATCGTTTGAATGTTGTTTCTTGGAGGCCAGCGACAGGCTCGGGAAGTTGCCGCGTTTCTCGTTCGTCACCGAGGACGGACTGGAAGCGAAAAGTTGCGTCATGGCCGAAGACTGGTGCCTGGAAAGGACCCGAGGACTTGTCCGGATGGTCCAGAAGGCCCAGATAGAGGATGGGTTGTGCGAGATGGAGTAAGAACGGAGAGGAGGTGGACAAGAACAAGTGAACAGGAACACAAAGATGGAGAGAGGAAGAGTTGCGACGGGAGGACGAGGACCCAGCGACGGGCCAGAAGCCGCGGGGGAGAGAGGGAGGGAAGGCGGTGCTAATCACTGGGTGTGGGTGGTGGGTGGGCGAACGAACTAAACGGGTTTCGCACCGGAAACTTGGAATGGGGACGCAGTGCCAGTGCCAGTGCCAGTTCCAGCCCGGGAATGATGAGGGGAGGGGAGCCTTGACCCGACAACACGGTCGACAACAGTCCGACCGCGACGAAGACGAAGAATGTGTGAAATTAGCCACGAATTGGAGCAGGGGTTGTGGCCGTATGGTGCGAACAGTAGGATGAAACAGAGGTATCACGGAAGGAAAAATTGGATGGGATAACTAACAAGAGCAGAGGGAAAGTGATAACTAGAGAGATAGCATAGAAAGAGGCAAAAGAGGAGACAAGAGAAACGATGGCAGACCAGACAGACAGCAGATGGAATGGGGATGAACGGTTGGTAGTGATAGTAAAAAAGTGGAGACAGAAAGAAGAGACAGACGGAAGGTGGAGGGAGAGAAGAGATGGAACAGTCCGTCCATAGTTAGTTAGCTTACCTAAAGTGAAGTCAGCCCCGGCTGGAGGCGGCGTTGATACACTCACTCATCCTCATCCTCATACGTAACCATACAGTCTTTGAACCGCCACTATCGGAGCCAACTGGAAACTAAACCAACATTAGTGACATTAGTCAATCAACTCATTTCAAACGATTAGGGAACCATCCATCGCACCTGTCATTAATGCTGAGAAAGAATATGATATGCACTTTTGTCCTTCGATAGTTACTCAGTACTTAACAAGTTCAAGACACCAGAGTAAGTTACTACTAGTCCAAATAATGGATTGAACCAGTCTCACCGTGGCTATGCCACTAGTTTCCAATTACTCAAGTACCACCGTAAACATTCACTTGCCACTTCTTTCCAATCCCTCTCTCCTCTTTCCCTCTTTGCCTCAGTTATTGGTCCATACAATAATAGACCCCATGAATTCCAACCAGAACTGGAACAGCCCTTCTGGACTTTTCCATACCGTATACTCCGTAGTCAAGCCATGGAGAACCACCGTCACCCTCAGGTTCGAGCCAGATGATGACCGTTCGCACCAATCCTTCCAACCCATAGAATCAATCGCGCACTGTGTCACCAGCCAGGAACGAACATCCATCCCCTCCCCCTCCCCCCCACACACATCCGACTCTCCTCCGCCGGTCATTCTTGGCAGAACATCGCCTACCTGCCGGCCTGCCAGCCGGGTTCGATTTATTTATATATTGTTATATTTTTTTTGGTCCTTTACGAATTATAACCACTACCGCCATAAGACTACCTAGTACGCTTCTCTCATCCACATAAGACTTTCCTTTCAGCCCGAATCAACACACACAAAAGAAAAAAAACCACCGAAAAAAAGCATGAAACCCAGTTACAGGGCGCGTTTCACTCCTCTAGCTCGCCTTGCCCAGGCCCTATCTACCTAACTACCCTATCTGGTCCGTCTCGTCACGTCTCGATGGATGATCGTTAATAACTCAGGGCTGTCGCACTTAGTCTAGAAACTCGTAAATTCCGGTCCTGTAAATCCGACCGACCAGTACTGGGCTCCCATTTATTTTTTCTTCTTCTTTTTTTTGGTTGCGGGGTTCGTTTCGTTCATAGTTCCTTGGGATAAGTTCCCTGGGGTGTGGGGGGAAGAAGGAGCGCAAAAAAACGCACCGCCTTACGCAAGGGAGGAGCTTCTCGGCCCTCCCAGCCCATAACTTGGGATTATTAGTACTGTACTCTGCGGAGTACCGGTAGGATCACCTAAGATTCTGATGTTGGAATCCATATTGTCGATCTCGTCATTGGAAAAAATGACATCTCCTACAACTGCTACATTCTGAGCTGGAAATAAATCCACTTTCTGTACGGAGTACTCCGTAAACCTCACATGAGCCCTTGAACTTGACATATCATACGGAGTACCACCGGGAAGCATATTTCCAGGCTCCAGTGTCAATCCTCAATCGCAACCACGTAAAATCGAGCAATCACACTTGCATTGTGAATCTGCAGCCCATGACGACAGAATTGCTCGAAGCAGTGGAACAAATTAAACATGCCATAGCTA